TTATTTTGATATATCACAGTGAAAGATTTATCGTCCTCTTTTTTTTTTTTTTTTTTTTTAAAAAAAAAAAAAAAAAAAAAAAAAAAAAAAAAAAAGCACAACCAAAATAGGGGGCAGTTAGGAGGGTGGCAAGTCCTTTAAAGTCAATCAAGGAATTCCTTGGAGGCACAATAATTTCCTGATGCCTCAATGAAAACAAGTGATCCATTCATTACAAGTACTAAATATTGTGCCATCAACTGTGCCAAGTATGACTATGGTGCCTGTTCTCAGTAATCTTGCTGGGGCAGTAAGACGCTATATAATCATAGCTATGATGTTTTCTATTGCATTTATTGTGTGTGTGTGCACATGCTACGGCACACGTGTGGTGGTCAAAGGACAATTTGCAGGAGTGGGTTCTCTCCTACCATGAGAGTCCCAGGGCTCAAACTCAGGTCCTCACACTCAGTGGTAATCAAGTGTCTTTACCCACTGAACCATCTTGCTAGCCCAGCTATGTTTTCTAAAGCAGTACTTCTCTACTAGGAGCAATTCTTTCCCCTAGGAAATACTTGGCAATATCTGAGGACATTTTTGGTTGTCACAACTGAGGAAGTGCTACTAGCATTCAATGGATAGAGGCCAGCGATGCTGATAAGCATCCTAAAGGACAACCCCATAATGAACTATCTGGCTCCAAAAGTCAACTGTGCCAAGGTTGAAAACCTTGTTCTAATATAAAAAGTTTAAAAATAGTACAAATGACTCACATAAAATGCTAATCTAAGTCACTCTGTGCTATCCAATCAAAATTAATTAATGTAAGTGTCTAGGAGAGACGGCTCAGCAGTTAAAAGCATTTGCTGCTTTTCCAAAAGACCTGGGTTCAGTTCCCAAAGCAATGTAGGGCAGCACATAACACCTATGACTCCAGCTCCAGAGGATCCAATGCCCTCTTCCGGCCTCCACAGGAACCCCACACAGACACACACATAAATATAAAAAAATTTCTTAAAAACAAAGGTAAATGTCTGAGTGGGGCTGTGATATAGCTCACTAGTAGAAAAGAAAGCACAAGGTCCTGGGTCCGATACCCAGTACTTCCAAAACAAAACACAACACAGCACAACACATTACGGTCTGATTGTGGAGAATTTTTAAGTTGAAAAAGGGTTTTAGACTTGATTCTTTGGGAACATAAAACCTGTGAGTCATGCAAATAATGAGTAAAAGGAAAAAAAAGATTTTTTTAAAAAGAACTTTTAAAAGATTAGTAAAGAAGCAAAGCATTAGTATGAAAGACAGGTTAATAAACTGATTGATGATATATTTTAAAGGAATAGTCATGCCCACTGGGTAAGATATAGTTTATGGATCTTTATGGATCATAAGAATTCAAATCTCGGGGCTGGAGAGATGGCTAAGTGGTTAAGAGCACTAACTGCTCTTGCAGAGGACCCAGGCTCGATTCCCAGCACCCACATGGCAGCTACAAACTGTCCTTAACTCCAGTTCCAGAGGAATCCAAAGCCCTCTTCTGACCTCCGAGGCACTGCACGACATGAGTGTGCTCACATAAATGCAGGCAATACACTCACATACATAAAATAAAAATAATAAATAAATATTCAAAAAAGAAAAAAAGAATTCAAACCTTGAACACTAAATTTCAAACCAAATTATACTTTGCATTGGCTTATTTAATCAAAATGAATCTTGGATTTATAAAGCTTCACAGAAAACTGAAATGAGGAAGTCGGTTTTAAAGGCTCAGTTTCTGGTTTAAAAATTTTTTTTTTCAACTAAATAAATGCATTCACTACAAAGACAATGGAGGAAAAGAAAAGAAAATGCTTCACTGAATCCTACAATATCATCTACCACTTTTGGCTTGCAGGGTAGGTATACTATACAAAGTACTTTCATCACCAGCATTTTATTCTGCTCCTGAGTCATCAATTATGCTAACCTGACTAAGGAAGCACTTCTGGAGAAAGCAGGAAATGCTGATGAAAGTTCTCTACGCTGGGCTGTACCAACCCAATTAGCAAGATGACAACTACAAAGTAAAATCCAAACACATTCAGATACAGAAGGTGGCAAAAGTCCTTAACAACCTAACAGACCAAACCTTTATTTCCCAGCTTCTGCCAAACTCCAGGCTTCAGTGCTTCCCTGACCATTACAGACCATTTTCAGCCCCACATCTTTGCTCTTGCAGTTCGTTCTACCGTATCAGACATCTTTGCCTGGATGTACTACAAATAACTCAAGTATCCAAAATTTGAATACAAGTATGCAAAATTTGGTTTCTTTCTATGTCATTTCCCAATTTTACCCCCTCCAATTTACCTTTTATATTCCTTATCTGAATGGTACTACACAGTTCCTCGGGCCAGAAAACCAAGCAATTTCTCCAATTTCTTGGATTCCTGCTTTTTTTTTTTTTGGAGACAGGGTCTCAACATGTACCCCCAAGTTGGCCTTGAACTCGTGACTCTCTTGCCTCAACACTCCTTTGTGTAGGCATTACAGATGCATGCTACCACAATAAGGTCAAGATTCCAGTTTAATACTGCTCAAACACAACTTCTCTCCTGGCCATGTCCACTTCCTTAGTTCAACCCATGACACAGCAATGGCTTCCAAACACTGCTCAACTTCTCCAATATCTGGTCTCTTCCCATTCTGTCAAGTGGGAAAACCGTTCAACGTATTCCTTAGCATGCCTTAAAGGGCCTCCGTATCGGACTCTACCACTTCTCAGTTCCTTTACTTCTTCAAGCAGCACTGGAATTCCAGCCATGCTGAACCAGTCACTGTCTTTCAATTTCTAGTCTCCATGCCTTGCACCTGTAGTCATCTTTGCCCGGAAATCCCTTTTCCAGGTGCATTATACACCCAAAGAAATTTTGAGAGATTTAGCCTCCTACTTCTGCCTAGAACCATGGTTCAGATTTTTCTCCTATGTTCTGTGCTCATGCAGTGCACGCTCTAAGCCAGTCCTGCTTTGTCTGCTCCCTCCCATATTGTAACCTCCAGGAGAACAAGCATATTCCTAGCCACGGCGTTTAGTGTCTTATTTAATGTGTGTTCCACACAACTGAGGTCCAATAAATGCTTGGTAAAAGATGAATGTACTGTACTATCCATAACTGTACCTGGACTTTCACTTCAAGAGCAGTCCCTACAAAGAGCTACAAGGGACAGTTCTTTATCTAAAATATTCTATCCCCTCTTACCCTTGCTACATACTTCCACAGCACCCTCATCACATTTATAACGACTTCTCAATCATCTCTACAAGCACTGTTAACTCCATGAGGGCATGGTCTAGACTGTTTTGTTTCAAGGTTGAATTCACAGAATCTTCCAGAATGCTACCACAAAATAAATATATTTTATTATTCCTTGAATTTAATTCTCTGAAGTCAGCAGGCACCTCCAATTAAAAGGTGGGCAAAGCAAGACATAACGAAGTTATGTAAGGGATCCTATAGGGGCTACAGATACTTGGCAGTGGGGCCAGACCCAACCTGTGTCATCTGATCCAGAAATGGACAACCCCTCCAATAAAGTTATCTTGGCTTCCTGGTAATAGCAGCAGTCTAGGAGTAAGGCGAGCTCTCTGAATGTAAACGCAAGACGTTTCCTGCCTCTCTTTTAAACTCTCCAGGCATTCCAAACAATCGGTTTTTTAAAGTAAAAAAAGTTCCACGCAGCCTTTTAACCTGCAGCTGCTCAGGTTGGAAGACTACCCCAAGTTAGAGAGGTTTCAAGGAAATAAACGTGGGAGAGATCTGGGACTGGTAACCTAAGGGAGCGGAGGAATATCCCTATTCTTTTCCTCACTCGCTCTAGTCCTCTTTTCTTCGGAGACCAATTTACCCATCCGTGCAATGGGAGCGAGACGGGGCTATGGAGAGATCTAAGGTCTCAAGGGTTCCTTTCGGTCAGGATACTTTAGGAATCAGGCCGCCGCTGAGGCTGAAGGGCAGCGCTGCGAAATCGAGGAAGTGGCTTCCCAGGAACCGCCCGGCTCAAGCTGGTACCCCGGCCCCACCTCAGGAGACCGCACCCAGGAGTCCGGGATGGCCTAGGGGCCCCAACCCAAGTCCCCTCAGCAGGGCTCATCATACGCGCGACAGCTAAGAAGGCCACGGCCAACGCCAGGAGCCGGTGGGCCCCAAAGATGACCCTAGTTCCTAGCCAAGCCGCCAGCCCTCACCTTAAGAGTTCCGCCTCACCTCCGGACTGCGATCAGCCGCTCTCCACTTCCGGCAAGAACCGCCCAGCGGTCTTCGCGCGACCCACTTCCGGGCCCTCACTGGGCGCGGCACCCCCACCGGAAATGAACTGCGGGCTGAAGCGCTAAACCGGGAGACAGGAGGAAGTTGGCCGCCCGGCTCTAGACTCCGCCTTTAGTCCCCGTTGCTTTGGACCGAGAATCCGGGCTTGCCCAGAGGTCACCTGGGAAAGGGGGCGGGGCGATCCGGAGAGGGCGTGTTCTAATAGGAACACGCCCCAACTCACATCCAGTCAGAGACAAGAATCCCTGACTAAGCCCCACCTCCTCGCGAAGGAGGACAGAGAGTGGCTGATTCTTCTTGTCAGTTTGGTCTCAGTGCCCAAGGCCCGTCCTTTTCAATTGCTGTCGGGAAGGGGTTCTAGGAACCTGCAGAGAACCGGAGGTCCCGAGGCCCTGAGGCCCGGGGTCCCTGCTGGTGGGGCTGGAGGCCCAGCGCCGCCTCTCTCTGGTTTCCCCGCCTGTGGTTCTGAGAGGGCTGGAGGAGGCTGGGCTTGCGGAAGGGCCAGCGAGGGCGTGGTGGGCCCGGCCCTGAGCGTCTGAACGTACCCGCCCCCCGCTAGGTTTTCCCGGTCTAGAGCCGGGAAGGTGGAGAAAACCTTCCACCCTCGCCCCACTTCCTGTTTGCTCCGTACATTTTGTGACCATAGATGGTCAGGTCTGCAGCCCCGAGGAAGCTTCCGCCCCGCTGCTTTAGAGTCCTTCCTCCCATCCCGCTGGGTGTGGTCCCGGAGAATAAGAGCGTCAGGAGAGACCCAGCCCCCGCGGCTGATGTCCTGCTTCTGTGGCATCCTCGCCCCAGGCTGGGTATGCCCACCTAGCTGCTAATCAGTCCTATGGTGGTTCCGAAGGATGGCAGCAACCCTCCGGGCAGACTCACGACCTTGCTTCTTAGACCAGAGATCAAATCTATGTTCCCTCTGGACCTAACACTTTCCAACTGGTCATTATCCTCCCACAATGATTTATTTCTAGAAAAAATTGGCAAGTACTACAGTTCCCACCCCTTCAACTGAATGACTATGACAGCTCCGTGTTCAAATTGAATGCAGGCGTTATATGCCAGAGTCAATCATTCAACAAATATAGTTCTTAAAATAATAGCTACCATTTACTGCGCTCTGACTACATGCCAGGATTGTGCTGAGCGACCAAGCTATTTTCATTTAATCCTAATAGCAACTCTCTGCGGTAGGTACCATTACCACTTAGGGGCTTGAAATAAAGAAGCTGAATAACTTGCCAAGGTCACAAAGTAGCTGTTTGGAACTTTGAACGGGACACACTTCTGACTCTTAAACCCCATGAGTTTAACTCCGGTGATAGATCGGTCTGGAATCATTTGAGGCAGTGTATGCCTCTGTCTTTTGACACAACGCTGAATTCCACGCCTTACTTGAGCCCTTTACTAGGGGACAGACTTTGGACAAGTCACTTTGGATAACTTACTGGCCTCTTCCCAATTTTATAACTCCTAATATGTTTAAAAAAGAAATGACGGGGCTGGAGAGATGGCTCAGCCGTTAAGACCACTGACTGCTCTTGCAGAGGACCCGGGTTCGATTCCCAACACCCACACGGTGGCTAAAAACCGTCCTTAACTCCAGTTCCAGGGGAATCCGAAGCCCCCTTTTGACCTCCGGGGCATTGCAAGACACTCATACACATAAAATAAATAAGTAAAATATTTTTAAAAAGAAGTGAAAATATGAGAAACTGTGGTATTTAAAACATGTACTTTTGGACAGGAGACATGGCTTAGTGGGTAAAGGCGCTTGCCACCAAGCCAGATTACCTGAGTTTGATCCCTGAGACCCACATGGTGAATGTCCAGAACAGACTCCCACAAGTTGTTCATGGCCTGCACCTCTAATCCGCCCCCCCACACACAAATATAATAAAAGTTAAATAAAATACACTTAATCAAAAAATACTGTCACACAGGGACAGGCATATGTATATGTATGTGTGTGCATGCTGGGACACACACACACACACACACACACAGTCAAAATGTTAGCCAGGGGCTGGAGAGATGATTCAGTGCTTAGGAGCACACACACTGTTCTTGGAGAGAACCTGCAGAGGACTCAAGTTCAACTCCCAACACCTACCTCAGGTGCCTCACAACTACCTCCAACTCCAGGATGATTGGACATCTCTGACCTACCCAGTGCCTGCACTCATATGCAAATATGTGCATGCACACACACATAATTAAATAAATAAAAAAAAACAACTAAAGGTTATCCAAGTGTGGTGGTACACACCTATGATCCCAGCACTTAGGAAACTGAAGTAGGTGAATCCTGCTTGAGACCAGACTGGACAACAACTGGTCTCAAAGTATCAAAAGGTTACATTTAAGTGTATATGAAACTCGGAACCAACAGCCCCTGCCCTTCCCAGCCACCCCCATAGTCTATTTAGCCCTTCTAAATCTCTTTCTGGAATACCCACAGAAGATGAAAAAACTGGGTCTAGAGAGCTGGCTCGGTCATTAAGGTTCTCAAACCCAGAGTACCTGGGTTTGATTTCTAGCACCCATATGGCAGCTAACAACTGTCCATAATTCCAGTTCCAGGGGATCTGACACCATCTTCTGACCTCCTTGGGCATTGCAGGATATGGGTGCACTGACATACATGCAGGCTTTACAGTCATACACACAAAAAAAATAAAAAAATATTTTTAAAGAGAAATGAAAAAAAAACTATACATGCATACATTTTAGACCAGGAGGAGAAAGAGAAAGAAAAAGAGTCAGCGAGATGGCTCAGGAAATGAAAGAGCTTGTGGTGCAAGCCTGGGGACCTGAATTAGATTCCCACAGCCCACATAGAAATGGAAGGACAGAACTGACTCCCTAAAGTTGTTCTCTGACCTCTATGCACATGCCCATATGCACAGATAAACACACTGGAACTGGAATTATGGATAGTTAACTGCCATGTGGGTGCTGGGATTCAAACCCAGGTCCTCTGCAGAAGCAGCCAGTGCTTTTAACCACGAGTCATCTCTCTAGCCCTGTGAAGTTATTTTTGAAACAATGTAGAGAGTGTACACATAATTTAGGACCCTAAGGAACTGCTTGTTTCAAACGAGTATATAAATACATGCATGTGTGACTTGAGTTTCAGATAGTATTAAAACATTCTGGGGGCTGGAGAGAGGGCTCAGCAGTTAAGAGCATTGGCTGCTCTTGCAGAAGACCAGTGTTCGATTCCCAGCATCCACATGGCAACAACCACCCATAACTCCAATTCCAGGGCATCTAATGCCCTCTTCTGACCTCTGTGGGCAAAACATTCATACACATAAAATAGAAATAACAAATAAACCAGGCGTGGTGGTACACATCTTTAATCCTAGCACTCAGGAGGCAGAGGCAGGTGGATCTCTATGAGTTCAAAGCCAGCCTGGTCAACATAGCAAGTTCCAGGCCAGCTGGGGCTACAGGGAGACCCTGTCTCAAAAAGACCAAAATAAAATAATAATAAATGAAATTTTTAAAAAATCCTTTGTTGCTTCTATGTGTTCATTTATTTGTCTCTCTACTAAAGTTTATTCAGCTCTTCCTGTGCAGCAAGCACTTTGTTTCAGGCACACCTGGGATAGAGCAGTAAACAAGTCAGACCCGGTCACCAGCATGGAGCATGCAGTCTATTTTGAAACAGATATTACCATCTGGGGTGGGCATCAGATTTGCTGATTTCTGGCTTCCAGCTTTTTCCTCCTCATTGATCTTGCTCGGTGCCCAGATCAAAATGTGTCATCTATAATTGACTCACATCTAGCACATGTTCAGTGAGTGCCTTGAATTCGGAAGAGCCATTTCCTGGTTTGGGATGGATGAGTAAAATAGTAGAGATGGGAATTTGGCCAATACTAGGTGAGCGGTTCCTGTAGCAGAGGACTAGGACATAAGGCTGAGAAAAAGACAGAACAAACTCTGCTAGGCAGGAGAGGTAGACAGTAATGGAACAGACACTAGATTGTGTTTTAGAAATGTACTGTAGAGCCTGGGCTTGAGTGGGAGGGAAAAAAAAAGAGGTGAAGAGACCCATTACAAGACAGGTACAGGGTCAGAAGGATGGCTCAGTGAGTAAAGGCGCTTGCTGTGCAAACTGACAGCCTCAGTTCTATCCCTGGAACCCACAAGGTGGATGGAAAGAACCAACTCTACGAAATTGTTCTCTGATCTCCACATGCACTCTGTGGCATGCATACCACCCCAACACACACACACACACACACACACACACACACACACACACACACACACACTAATTTTTTCTTTTTTTAAAGCCAGGGGCTGGAGAGATGTTTTGATAGTGTGTACTGCTCTTGCAGAGGACTTGAGTTAGTTTCCCAACACCATCAGGACCTCTACCTCATCACCTGTAACTCCAGTTCCAGGGGACCCAACACCTCTGGCCTCCTTGGGTATCTACCCACACACAGACACACATATACACATAATTAAAAATAATAAAAACATTGGGCCTGGAGAGATGGCTCAGCAGTTAAGAGCACTGACTGCTCTTTCAGAGGACCCAAGTTCAATTCCTAGCACTCACATGGCAGCTAACAACAATCTAAACTCCAGTTCCAGGGCATCTGACACCCTCTTCTGACCTCTATGGTCACTGCACAACATGGGTGCACTTACATACTTGCAGGCAATACACTCATACACATAAAATAAAAAATAAATTTTTTTTTGGTCTTTTTTTTTTGGTCTTTTTTGAGACAGGGTCTCCCTGTTAGCCCCAGCTATCCTGGAACTCGCTATGTAGACCAGACTGGCCTTGAACTCACAGAGATCTGCCTGTCTCTGCCTCCCAAGTGCTGGGACTAAAGGCATGCACCACCATGCCTGGCCTAATAATAAATCCTTTTAAAAAGATAAGAGCCAGGCATGGTGGCACAAACCTTTAATTCCAGCACTCGAGCACTCTGGAGGTGGAGGCAGGTGAATGTCTGTGAGACAGAGGCCACCTTGGTCTACATTACATAGCTAGTTTCAGGCCAGCTGAGGTTACAGAGAGACTTTGTCTCAAAAAGATCAGAGAGAGAGAGAGAGAGAGAGAGAGAGAAAGAGAGAGAGAACAGATATAAAATCTAG